CTACTACCACTACTACGACGACGACACTACGGCTCTACGACCCTACAATGGCGACGACGACTGCTGCAACTGCAGGTTGATGAGCATGGGAGATGCTGAGTGTCGCCTCCTGAATGAAAGTCTTGTAATCCGCTGCGGGCTCGCCCACCAGTACTCGCACTTCCTGCGTTTCTTCAGGTGTCTCAAAACCAAAATTATTTTAAAAAAAGTGCCTATGTAGTTTGGACGGTATGGAAATGATATCGAGGTTGTACAGGGGCCACAGAGGGTGTACTCAAATTGTACAGGGTTACACGATGTTACAACGAGATTTTTAAAGGGAACCCGTATAAGGCAGCATGCGCAAGCATTTGCCACATTTAATGGACAGCATTGCCCGGATGAGCACTTGAGGCGTCTAAGCCCGACACAAACACTAAATCGATGCATGCACAGCCAGAATCCACAACCTTCAAGAGAAGTACTTGAAACTGCAGCTGCTACATGGCATGTGGGAGCCTAAAGAAATGCCGATCTCATGATGAGGCTTTAGTTGATTGTACTGTAATTATGCAAGGAATCTGGTGCCACAATATTTGCAATTATCTAGCCCGGACCCGAGAGCTGTGCCTTTGTGTAGCAGTGGCTGGGAAAGCGCGACAGGGTCTTCTGTCGCTCCTCAGCCAAGAGGTTGTTCTTCACCTGCATCAAGGGGTTTAGGGTTTAGGGTCAAGGGGTTAGAACCGATTGGATCTGCAGGTTCGGGCTCTTGCCTGCAGAGACGCTTACATTGATGCAGCTAGTAACTTAGATAGGGTACATTCCTAGCTTAATCTCCAGATAGGACAGAACCCCTAAGAAGGACACTCAGAAGTTACAAGCTACTTGGAATGGAGGCCAAAGGCTACTCAGATGGTCGGGGATCTACCTGATTAGAATCTTGGCTGCCCAAACAGTTGAAATAGAAGTAAGAGCCATAATAGCAACAATACTGCTAAGAGCAGTGGTAATTGAAATACTACTAATAGTAATAGTACAAATAATAATAATAATTATCATTATTATAACGGCAATAACATTCATAAAAGTGACTTGCGAGCCAGCACGGTAGAGACAAGGGGCTTCGAATTGGGTACGCGAATTTGCGGAGAAGGCAGATGTTGATCACGCAAATGTGGTAGTCTCCACGAATATGGGAACCCCCATATAGACCCCAAAATGCTATAATCCTTATTATAGGGACCCCCCCTGGAGGTACCTTGGGAAACCCTTACAATTTATTGTAAATGTAGCCAAAATGTTGGGAAACCCCCATTCGGTATAGAGCCTCTATATAACCCTATATTCCATTGAAGGGAAAGCCTAATTTTGGGAAACCCCCCATTTGTCTGCAGGAAACGGCACCTCTGCAATGATGAAGTTCCGAGGCAAAACTGTGGCGAAGGCTTTGAGGACCTGTTATCGATACAGGGGTTAGGGGTTATATGATGGGGATAGTGGTAAAGACACTGGAAACTACTATATTATTTGGTTATATAGGGATATATAGGGCTATATGAAGATTCAGAATATCATTGCAACATATTCTAGGTTCATTTTGCTCGTTAACAAGAATTGGTACCCTTTTTCCTACTGTTCAGCTTGAATAACGAGACCCCAAAATGAAAAGGGCAAAAGGGCACTACTGGAGTACCCAGTATTGCTAATATTCTGACTATTATTGCTACTACTATTCTTATTACTAGTCTTGCTACGACTATTATTGATATCAGTACTACTATTACTATTATTACAAGTATTACTATTATCTTAGCTATTCTTGCTGCTGCCACCAGTCCCAAAGGATACGAAGTACCTATATAGGGGATACTGACCTAAACCATATTCCTAATTCATAACAGAGAAACCCTACTGTGTACCACATAACACAGTATCATATTATGACTATATACAAGTATGCTGAATCTAGAAACCCTATCTTGTACCATATAGGTATTCAGTATCCTTTGGGGGAATTTTAGGGAGCGAGACAGATGACTGCATCCAAACGGATTGTCAGCATTGCTTTTCAGGAAAATCTCAGCTCCAGGCCTTGCTAACGCTGTAGTCCTTGGGAAGCTAATAATCCCCCTTGAGTAGAGAGAATATTGCTTTGGGTATATTATTAAGATCCCCATATACGCCAAATTCTATCTACTTAAGGGGGACTATCGATTCAGGCGGCGCTCGCGCACATGTCAATGCACACATTTCTTGAAAACACCTATTCTAAAACTGGACAAGCATAGTGTGGTTACGAGGCCCAACAGGGTGACGGTCCACAATGTGTGCAACAAGGTAGCAAGACTGATGATTGTGCCATCACTGCAACTTCTTACCATTAGAGCACGGTAGGTCTGGACATGCTCCCTAATGGGCAGGAATTTGCAGAGATCACGCCTCAAGGTGATCTGTACCTTGATTCATCAGCTTGGAACTTGCGGAGGACACGCAAAAATTGCCTCTGAGGAAGTCCGCCCGCGAAAAGCGAACAAACCAAAAAAAAAGTTCTCCAGGGAAATTACACGTGGCGTCTCATCGAAGCAGAACTGCTGCAGCACAAGAGCGACACCATAGAATGAACATGATGTGCTGACTCATGTGGAAGGGTGCCTCAAGCTCGACGTCAGGACAGAACTCAGAAACTCTTCTGCGCAACTTACTCTACATAGGTTCTGATAAATCAATCCGACACCTGGAAAAGGGAACAAGCAATTTCGTTGTAAAATGCAGCAACATATTGTCGTGTATATCTATATATATATATATGTATCAGAATATCCCCTACCCTAACCCTAACCCGTAAACCATGTACCCTAAGGATCTTAATCAGGCCGGGCATCATCCATCAGCGGCAGGCCAAAGTGCATCTCCGGATGGTCATGGGAGCTCCTGTTTTACAATTACATGCTATTACTATTACTGTTGTTAATAATACTGTAGCTGCAGTTACCATCATTATTGTGATCATTATTACTACTGCGATCTTGCTGAAGACTGTGACGCGCAGGCACAACACAAACCCCTGAACAATCACACTAGCATGTCGGGGGCCTTCTGGGTCATGAGCGTGGGCTTTCACAATCTGCCAGGTTTCTACGTGCTTGTAGGGCCCAACTTTGGGGTCCTTCCTTGCCTCAACTTCCACAAGACACTGAATGCATCCCGCCGTTATCTAAAGTACATCACCAGTATGCATTGTACGTGGCATGCATCAGGTTGGCGAGTCCAACCGTCCTCTTGAAGTAGCCCCCGGAGCGCTGTAGACCGCTTCTGTTCTGGCGCGGCTGGGCCAATGTGCACGGCGGGATGTGAGAGGTCTCTTAGCAAGGACACAACAGACGACGGCCAGAAGCTCCTGCTTACTTGGGACGTGGCACTTGAGGGTTCAATCTCTCCAGGCCAAGACGTAATTCTGCCAGCAAGGCAGCCCAATCCAGGATCGAGCGGTCACTAATCTCCGTGTAGTTCCTGGGTGCTGCAACTTGGCTCGCAAGGCTCACGCCAAGTTGTCTGCACACAGCTTGGCTTCTTCATGTACTCATAGATGTATATGAATTTCAGGTGTTGGCCTATGGGGAGTAAGGCTTTCGTCCCTTTGTATGTAGACCTGGATGATATTCCTCACATCAAAGCCCGCCGTTCAGTCCTCCACTCAAGACTGGTTACCACAATGGCCCTTGATGTGTTCAAAGGGCGGGCCCTTTCGTTGGTTCCGAGGCCTATACCCTGGATCCTTTACCCTCAACCCTCACTCCAACTCCACAGACCATTATAACCCCACATAAATCCAACGTCATATACCCAACCGCATAAACGAACCGTCTAGACCCCTAAGGTCACGGCTTGTTCTTGGACAAGAACTGGTCCACCCAGTCGAAGGTGGCTTCATCCGGGAGGCCCACTGGCAAAAGCACCTTTTCGTCAATTTGGAGTTGGTTTAGGGTTGAGGGTTCCTTGAAACAGAGGATTATAACGAGATTCTGGGGGTCCATCACAAGGATTGCAGAGGGATTATCTTGAGCAACTGCCAATTCCTTTCAACATCACTCCTCCGAGAAGCCAACAGTCAACCTGCTGCAGGAGGAAAAAGAGACTTAAGTTGCGCGCGGGAAATATGCGTGTGTGGTTTACTTGGTTAGGATCTAAGACAGTTCTGTTGCTTCCACCGACGCCGAATGCGGCATCTTGAGCAGACTATGTGCCACCACACAAAGAAGCCTCCCGGGCAATCTTCTCGTTCTGCGGATTCCGCTTTAGGACTTCGGCGGTGCCCACATGTACTTGGATGCTACATGGCAGGCAATACCTATTGATAAGGCAATCTCGACAATGCTAGTAGCGCGCATCAGCCAACTGGAGCACGAATAAGGCCCAAACAACATTGAAGACAATTCAACCCTAGCCCCCAAACCCGACCCTAAACCCGAACCACTCTGGACCCTGAACCCTGAATGCTGTCGCCTGGTACTTGCCATCTTTGGGCGCAGGTGACGTCTTGACCTGGCTGCCGCAGGGCTAAGACAGGGCTAACACGGGGACCTGAATAATTGCTAACATATTGTTGAGTTCTATTTGAGGTACTCCATGCCATGATTATACAAGGAATCTAGGACCAAGATGTTGGTAATCATTTAGGCTTCTACATGATTTCGATGGAAGAAATCTTGCCCCACCCAAGGTCTTTAACTCACTGCAATGTGTAGGGCTTAGGATACTTCGAATGGTGTGGGGTTTTCCCCCTTAACAATTAGCCTACATAAACAGGTTCCCCTGGTTTTGCGCTCTACCACTTGGACTTTTGCCGCCCTCGCGTGGAGTTGGCATCTATACAAGTGCTCAGGATGTCGGGCTCAAGGACCGTAAGGCATAACAAGCACAATGCTTGTCTACACAAACGGCCAAACAGCGACCTGAAGCGAGCCTGCGCAAGGCGATTCAAAAAGACAAGCCCCAACGTTGTGGAGTCAACAATGGGGATCCTGTAACCCACCTACCTTCATCCCACCTTCTGCGCCTCCTGACAGCCATAGAATAGATAAGTAAGTGTATACATTATATGCCTATATTGGCCTATATAGCCCTATGACCACCAGATATCCCCCATATAGTCCCTACATAGTTCACCTTTTGAGCCCCTGAAAAAGGCGTGCCTCGCTATGCGCTTTCTGCACCTCCTGCCAGGTGTGGCACTTGAACGGCAGCGGCCTCGCAAAGATGCCGTCCCTAATGTATAGGAACTATGTAGGGAATATGTGGTTAGAGCGGTCATATAGGAGGCTAAGCACAAACAAACAAATGTATATATTGATATATATATATATATTTGTATATATTCATACATGATATGGCCCCGGCACTATATGGGGGAAGTCTTATGATTCGGGGGTGGGTGCGGGGGCTATTATATTAGGAGTCGATCCTGAAGTTCCATGTGGCAAACTGACTTAGTTGATTAGCTCTAGAAGTATGAAGGGAAGTAATGTAGGGCCTGTAAGCCTGTAAAGTTGTAAACATCTAAAGGCTGCCTGCAACAACACACAATGAAGTGTAGAGCGTCCTGCGCATGAGCGCACTGCAAATACATATCAAAAGCTTTCTAATTCTCAGCCTCAACCTGGCTTCTAGAAGGCCAGGAAGGCACCTAGCTGAGGATGTGGAAAGTTTCATTTTTCCTAAAGTTCCTTAAATCCCTATATTCCCCCAGTTTCCATTTCATTTTCCATGATTCTCCATTATAGACCCATTATGGTAACTTAAATTAAGTTCCTGGAAATTTCAGCATCCATGGCTCTGCCAACCCCAGCCATCCCATGATTAGCTAAAGGCCACAGGGGATCCAGGTCTATCTGGAGAAGGGAGCCAATACGGATACCAGCGTCAACTTCCGAAAGGTGACCCCTTGAAACAGCTTTGCTACTGTGGTAGAATCTCAGAACTCTCTGCAGTCTATATTACTTTCTTAGACTTACCTTTGCAGGACCTGACATGCTCAACATCCTTTGCGAGGGTATTCAGGCCACCCTCAATTTCCAGAAGCTCCAATTCGCACAAGAAAATGCCAGACTGGTTCAAGGCCTCAAAGGAGCCACGCCAAAGTGCACCTTGCTTCAAAGCCCCGATCACAGCTGCGAAGTTCACACACTTCGTAGCGCAGGAAAGGCTACCCTGGATGTAGACAGCATACGGGGATGGGAAAGTGTTGGGTTGTGTAGGCCTCGGAATTTGCAGGTTGGATCTACACAAGAACTGTGATTGTCATTGGATTCCTTTCTGTATCAATGTGAGCAGAAGAGCAGTTTCACGAGCAGCCTTCTTGCAACTTGAATCTAGGCGCAGCCTGCAAGAAAAAGATAATCTACCGCATAATTATGTATCAGAGTTCGATCATATATAACCCAAGTGTCCGCTGTCTTGCCCCTTTGATTCTCCACTGCTGGGTGACACCGTAAGCTGCATATATAACCCTTTATCGTCCTTGCATAACACTTAGCATTTGAAATTGAGGCTTCTAGTGACATGACAATCCTTTCGTATGCCTGGCTGGTTCCCCATGAAAACTTGGTAGTTTTCAAAACTTACGGTAATACAGCCAGCCCCCACCCAAATAAAAGAGTCCCCCAATTTTCTCGGAAATCCTCGCCTGAGATGGGAGGGGCGGGCTCTTCAGCTTCCAGACATTCTGGAAGCTGAAGAGCCCCCCGCCACCCATATGTTATGTGCCTGGCTCTCAGCCACAATGTTGGTGATGATTTGGCTCGTCGAGGGTCTTACAACGTTCTCTGCGGCCTGATCTCAGAGGAGAGAAAGTGATCTCAAGGAATGCGCTGGCAAACTCGCCAGGCCGCAGCAGTGTTGCTGCGGTCATCAACTTGAAGTAATGAAATCGTCCGCGCTGCCCATCCACAGCGCAGGGTCCAACAACCCTAACCTTCCAAGCATACTGCCAGCTGTCGAAAGGGCCAAACAGGAACATGCAGTCTCCCTGAATTTCATGGGGAACCTCCAAGTCTGCAGTTGCCTTCTTCCATTCCAAGGCCAGGCCTCGGTTGAGGGGATATTTCTCCACCACTGGTCGTAGCATTCCTGGCTTTACAGTATATGAGCCATAATCTAAACTCCCTAAAGGGGGCTATATAAGGGACTACTCTAATTAAGGGTTATGAGGATACTAGGAGTCTAGACTATGGCTCAAGGTGTTCCCAGAATCCAAATGAAAGTGCTCGGACAAGCATCTCTCCCACTGATAACTTCCATTATGCGAAGTTGGCCGCTTTGTGAGCTTTCCGCCCAGAAGTTTGGAACAACTTTGAGGGACCCTGGGTATAGGTCATACCCTGCATTACCTCTCGCGCCTTCATTAGTCGCCAGGGCCCTCGAAGTGGTTGGTAAGCACCATCTTCTCTAAGCTCGTGGCCGCCGGTTCTCCAGCAAACCTTATGCTATAAGCGGGCATGGAATCATGCAATGTCCGTAGACTTCAGAGGCAGAGTAGGAGGGGTCAGGTCAGAAGCGGTATTTGGGCCTGCCACATTCCTGGTCAGACAGAAGATGCTGGGAGGTCACCTGGAACTGTGCCATAGCAGTCTAGCGGGACTCCGGCAGACTACCTGTCGCCTGCTTGAACAGCTGTCCAAATCAAGGCAGTCGAGGCTTTTGTCAAGGCAGTGCAGCATAAGAATGACTGCCCACAGCCCTCTCTCCCTGACAGCACCTGCACCGTGACGTTGCGGAAAGTGACCGCAGGGAACACTGCCTGTCACACAAGGTGGATTGGCAAGCAGCCGAACAATGTCACATGACCTCAGTGCCTTACACGTTGCATGATCTACCCGTTCATTACAGCAATCTGCTGCCTGATGCGACGCGCAACAGCGGACCGTAAGAAATCCAAGTCCCAAGGCCTTGTCCCTACACATTGTGCCCGAAGTCAGTTAAACTGGCTGGCCGGGGCCTTGCCAATCATGGACTCCGGCAGTTTCTGCGGCCTTGCAAAAGCAAGGTCGATACCCCGGTATCAGTGGGCCAAGAGCATCCCTGCTGAAACAGATGTCCACAAAGGGGCTTGTCATGGTAATGCTTTCTTGCAGCAGAGAGAGAAGCTTGTGGAGTAGCTCAGGACATGCTGTGCAGAAGTAGGTCCATGACGCTCAACATCTTTGCATGTGAGCTACTTTGACGTTTCAGGTCGTCAGGTGCGAGCTACATAGGACTTAGGGACCATTGAAGTATTGGGATGAGGCCCGTCACCGGCCCGTCACCAAAGTTCCCAGGAGGCAATCTAGCTTGCAAAGGACATCCAGAGTTTCTGTAATACCAACCTCTCTGACAAAGCTATGATGCGTTGAAGGTGCTTAGGACTAGGGAGGTAAGGGGGTTTCACTACGAGGGGAAAGATATCCCTAAGGGTCCAAGGATCCAAATAAAAGGTTTTAGGGCCCAAATATTGAAAATATTCATAATATTGGGGCCCTAAAACCCTCTTATTTGGGTCCTTGGACCCTTAGGGTAGTAGAAGGCTTCTGCAGATCCGAGACCCACGCTGTGATGCCCGAACTCCATTGATGAACAAGCTGACAGTGTTGGCCTCAGCACACTATAGTTATGTGAAGACTGTTTGGGAATCCAACACAAAACGGACACTGCCATGTTCTTGAGGATAAGGCTCAGGGGCCAAATCAGATAGAGAAGAAAGACGGGAAAACAACTTGGGAAGTGGGCTCATAAGATTGAGATGAAGAGGCTTGAATGCTCTCAACACTTCTTTTTTTGGGGGGTATGATGTGATGTGGCTCTCTTCATGGGTACGCGGGTGAGCAGCCGTACTTCCCCAATCGTTCCCAGGTTCCGGCATACCATGGGGTGGAGAACATTTAAATTAACCTAGGCATGAACAGTTGATCTGCAAATGGGTGCACAGGAGCTGGCCTCCTTACTCTCTAACCTCGACCTAGAGGCTACTCTACAGTACTTGGAGGGTCAGGGGGACTCAGTAAGTTGGTTAGTAAGCGGAATAAGTAGGGTTTCTATATGGGATATATAGGGGTTCTTAACTCTATTTATGAAGTTCCCCTGACCCTCCAAGTAGGAGCCTGTGAGAGCGACAACCATTGATAGCTGCAGTAGGGTTTAGGGTTCAGGGGTTTAGGGTTTAAGGTTTAGGGTTGAGGTTGTGCGAAAATTGGTGGAGGTGGCTGTCAAGGGCCCAAATTCTGTGAATACAGCTTCCTCCAGGTAATCCTAAACCCTGCATCCATGCATCCCTCTGCATATATGTATAGATATATGCCCCTACATACCCTTATATCCTAAGATATCCTCATATGAACTATATATCCCTATATACATCAATGGCAGTCCATAAGCTCTGCTCTGGATACTTGTCATTCTGCAGGCGATGCTCCTGTTTAGGGTTTTTGGGTTTAGGGTTTAAGGTTCGATTTTTTTCAACCCCTCAGACTTTTAAGGGTTACGATTAGGGGCAGGTTGGCCAAGCCAAAGGAAAGTATGTTGCCTTTGTCCTGTATCAGCCACTTGCAAATGGAGTTGTTCTTAATAACTACAAGCATGTTTTGTCTCCATAAGCTGTCATCCCCATTCAGCACCGAAGCCCCAAACTTAAACCCTGTACTCAAAAGCAACAACACGAAATCTGCAGCCCCGAAGCCCTCTGCTGTGTAGTTGGGCTTTTAAGATCCCTAACGCAAAGCGGCTACCCTATCAGGCCCGGACATTTGGGCTGCTGGGGTCTAGGTTCACCAGCAGTCCGGCTACCTGGCAAGGAAGCTTCTTGGGTTCCTGTAAAGCGGCTTATAGGGTCCCAATTTCAGCGCAGGAAAATAGGAGGGTCTGGGTATCTTGGGATTTGTGGGACAAAACAGAAGCTTATGCGTGCCAAAGCCAACCCTAAGGGCCCAAGTACCCGATAATTGGGTACTTGGGGTTTGGGTAACGGTAATCGCAGTGCAGAATTGGGGCTGGTATATGATTGTTGAGTACCCTTAGGGCTAAGGAACCGCCCACAAGCGGCAGGCTTTTTCGAACGAGCATAACTTAGACGGTGCATGTTAGCAAGACAATATGTAAACGCTTTGGCAGCCATGTAGCCTATGCATATCCAGGAAACCGACAGTGTCGCAAACAACTGCTCCAACACATAACCAAGATGAAGCTGCTTGCCCGCAAGTCAACAACTACTTACTGAGGGTTAGTAGGGAACAAGGGAAGAGATGATACAGGGATTAATATTCCCTCATTCCCAACTAACCACCAGTAAGACTTACAAGGGCTGCACCAGCGGCATGTTCTGTTGCTACATCTACGACATGGGCACGCTCCAAAGATCGACTGCACCAACTTCCACTTTCAAAGAGTCGTGCAATATGCTTCTGCAGAACTGTAGCTGAAAGGTCATCAAACTGCGGTTCCTTGATGGGCCCTCATTGTAATACGGCCCCCAATATCTAGCGTACCCCAAGAAATTTATGTAAGAAGGACCATAACAATCTACCAGCATGCGTAGCGGCTGCTACGTTACCTGAAGAATCCGCGGCCTGACTGTGCCCGAACTTCTTCCCGACCTGCGCATGGGCATAGAAGTCTAAAACGCATCTCTGCCCAAGGAGTCATGGGAATAGTGGGTAGTTGGCAGGACTTTAAGCAACAGCTCTCGCAATCATGCCTGCTTGTGTTTGCTCTTGTGTGGGCTGTGCATCAGACTTTGCAGCTTCATCAAGCTGGCAACTGCAAGGATGATGAGATGATGATCCCGGCAGGCAATCAAGCGCCTCTACCGTCCTTTTTTTCTGACACGCGGTCTTTAATCCTGGTTTGCAGCTGCCTGCATGCTCGTTAGCGATCTGTGGCGCAGCTTGCGCAGAAGTCAAGATCAGAACTGCTGGCCCACGCTGGAGTGTTCATATCGTGTGAGCGTGATTGCCTAACATAGTAGTGACTACTCCGGCTATTCGTTGCTTGCCCTCCAGTAGCAGGTGCCAGCCCACATGCTGAAACTCTGTGTCTTCAACCGCCGAGGCGGACATGTGGCCTCCTCGGCACATGCCACATTTTCTGCAAACACTTCCTCTGCTTACAGTAACCGTACTAGTAAGAACTGATAAACGATTCAGCCTATGCAGACTATGCGGATAAGATAAACTACACATGCCTGCCCATAAGACAATTGGTTTGCAGCTTAGAGGCTAGGCAGGCACTGTAGCAGCTGGCATTTAGGGCTTGTAGATGTCTTGTTATGCCCTGCATTGGAGCCCTTTGCATACAACACATCTACGGAACCTGCATGGTTCTCAAGAGTCAGAGATTAAAACAAAAACTCTCATTCTCCGACAGAACCTCTTTATTCCAGCATCATCCGTATATCCTCTCCAAGCCATTCATCTGTGGACCCTGTGTTGCAGGCATGACTCCTGCCACAAACTACCATCCCGCATCCATTTACGCAGCCCTGCCGTCTTTGCAGCAGGTCTGTTTGCTGGCTGGCGATGCCACGACTGTGACAGCTATACTATGGGTACCTCTCAAAACCAGGGGCTGCTAGCAGGGAGAAAAGGGATGATCAGAGAGTATGGAGATCCCTATTATGGATCATATTGGGATCTCTGCGAGAAATACCACTGTGGCTATACAACGTAGGAAGAAGAATAAAAAGTAGAATGACAGCAATGTGGAATCCACCCGAAAAAAGACTGCGTCTCTGTAGTTACTGTGCAAAACCACGGGCCCCGTCCATTCAGACCTAAACTTACTCGGGTGGGCCCTTTGGGCCAGGATCTGGGGCCCTTCCTTCTTAGACTCCAATCTAATTGGCAGGGGGGGTATAGTCCCCCGTAAGTAGATAGAATATGTCTGTGGGTAGATTATTCTCAGATCCCCATATACCCCATATTCTATCTACGTAAGGGGGACTATACCCAAATATTCCCTGGCCCATCGGAATGGGAACTCCTTTCTGGCATGATTGCATTGCCAGGCAGCAATCGCTCTGATAAGCTTGCTGTGGCGCTTATGGCCACAAAGAATCTCAACATGAACGATCGGCACCAGTACTGCTCATCGTAGATTTTCAATTGAAGCGCCTACTTGAGGGCTTCATTTCTCCGTCTGAAGTCTTCGCCACTAGCTAGACGTCTCCGGGCATGCTTCACCTTTACCATCACTCTTAGAAAGTGCAGCGCCTGCACTTCCGTGTTAGTTCCCAATCATCGCAATTCCAGCAGCTTGGTTCACGGGGCGTGGACAGCACATCTGGCTGGCATTCCAGTGCCCCTTGCAGCCTGCAATCGAGGCTGTCAGTTCTGTTGTAGTGTATGTGTAGTGTTTGTAGGAATCATGATTGGAACTACCTTGGGCATTATTTCGATGCACATTCTAAGAAGTAGCGGAAGCAGTAGAAGTGGGCTGATGTCCTGACTCGGCCTAAATACCTGTCATCAAGTGCTTGGTTGTGGCATTTTAGCGTTTGCCTGGTGGCCTTGGCCAGACACGTGTTTAATACTAGCATTCATAGTAATACTGATACTGATAAGAAGACGAATAAGAATAATAGTAATGCTACATGGTTTGCGTCGGATCCTTCTCAGCGAGCTGCTGGCACACTCAGCAAAAAGGCAAACGGTCCATTCCTCTAACAGATTTCGCAGAGCCACCACATGTGGTAGTTTCCCAAAATCGGGGGATCCCAATATAAACACCTACATGTACTATGATCCTTACTACTGGCACCCCCAAGAAGGTATCCCTAGTTTTGGGAACCCTAAACCCTATAAATCCCCATATACCCCAATGTCCCATATACCCCAATGTAACCCTACATTTCTTTTAAAGGTACCCCATTTGACGTAAGAGTCTACCTCTCTTCCAAGGAACCACCTCGACTCTCGGCGGCGTGGCGATGGCGTTCGGCGAAGGGTGCGGCAGGTCGTCGGCTGCAGCAAGGTCGCAAGAGTG